ATCAGTGGGGATATTGGATGGAATTTTTAATAAGAGGATTAGAATAACTGGAGAGCTATATGGAAAAAGTTAAATTAGATCGTCATACTATTCAATAGCACAAATTCCAAGTGGATCAGATATTTATAGATAATGGAACTATACTAGTAAAAAAATGGGTGAATTCCTATGTAACTTTAGAGTGGGAAAAACTTTTCTAACAATGACTTGACATCCATAAACAATATGAGAAAGTAGATTACTAAAAAAATAACTTTTGCATGGAAAAAGAAATCATAGACAAAAAGACCAAATGACGAACTAGATTTACATGGTTAGGTAACGTATACACCTGGATTTAGTGACAAGGAAGTTGGTAGCTTTAACAAGGGCTGTTTTGGGAGTATGTGGGAGGTGGAATCCTGATGGGAATGGATGCAGGATGAGTGGGAAGTGAGGAAGAGGAGGTTGTCGGCGTCCACAGTCCCTCTGAGAAGCTGGACAGAGAAGGGAGAAGCCCGCAGGGTTCGAGTAGGGGAGGAGGGGCTGATGGACTGGGCCTGGCTTGATGCAGGTCACACGGGGTGGGGGTGGGGGGAGCTTTAGATCACACTGGAGAAAACTGTTCCTACCTTTGAGGAGCTTGGAGAAATTATAATAATTATCCAGATAACTACTAAAAAAGATATCAATATCAGCAGCATTTTCTGAAGCATCATATTTGAAGACATGATGAGTGTCCTAGGAGAGATGACACAAGAGGAATTGTGTGAGAAATGAATCCCTCTGTACTCACTCACTGTTTTATTTTTAATCTGTAATTTGCCACCAAGATTTTGCTCCTCCTTTGAGAACAATTCTCTTCTTTCCCTCTCCCCACAAACAACCCATACTCCCAACCCCTTTGCCCACCTATTGGCTACTCCTGTCCAAGTTCTAGCTGGGATTGTTGCTTCCTCCTTCCAGGAACCTGAAATGGAAGTCTGATGCCCCTCATAGGTTCTCTCACTGCACTCTGCATTTTCTCAGTTATGACACTTCACAATTACAGTAAGAAGAAGAACAATGAATCTATCAGCATGTCTTTTGGGGGAAGACTTGGGGTAGCTAATGGGACCACAAGAATATTCTCATGTTATAAAACATAATCTGTAAAATGCCCTTAAAGAAAGTTGGTCCTGTTAACTGGGCAGGGAGGTGGGGTGGGTAGCTTTTGTTTTGCTGAGTACCAAGTATGCCATTTGGAAGTAGAAACTCCTTCAGGACTGAATTACTCTGCATAGCAAAGAAGAGATGATCCAGCAAGGCTAGATACTACAGGAAGAAAGGAAAAGAAAAGGAGATAGATAGAGGTATTGGGGGTATGGGGGAGAGAGAGAGAGAGAAAGAGAGAGAGAAGCTCCTCCCCACCATGTTCATATTATTATTTAATAATATGGTCTTGGAGAACAGAAATGAGATTATATGCTTTGGCTTATTTTGGGGTACAAAACATAAAGTCTCTCCTCTCTGTCCTTTACCAAATCCTCAGTGAAATCTAGATTGCATGAAAAGCTTTTGTTTAAGTGGATTCATTTGGCAGAATCCAAAAATTTTCTGTATTTTTATCTGGTTGGTGCAGAGCAAAAAGATACTTCACTCGCAGAGTAGAAGCTAGAGAACAAAGGGTAAATTTAGAGCTGGTTAACCTTTGGAGAGTCCAAGATGAAATTATTTTAAACAAGAGGT